GTCACAGCAGGTCATTATGTGGGTTGGGTACTATATGTCTCCTTAGAGCTGCCGCGCTGGCAGCTGGTACATATCTGTACGCCTGTAATACGTGGAGATGCGAACTCTATCGCAGATGTCCTCGTGGGACCAACCCTTCCAAAGCCCTTGCCGCCTGTATCCAAGGGGGAAAGTGAAAGGTAGAGGAGGCTCCGCCCATCGCTCCGCCCACGGGATGCTCCCATTGTGTGTTGAGCAAGAATGGTAGATGGACTACCAGATATTGATCAAATTTGATGGGTTAAGAGGTTGAGCTATGAATTAGAATTTGGGAAATGGACAGTAAAGATTCTCAAACAGTTTTCAGGTGCAACAGTGATAATAAAAGTATAATAGTATCATGTCACAGTACCCGACAAATGTATAGAGAGAGTAACGGTCATTTTTGTAAGAGTCATATAGAACACCTCTACCATTTAAGTGTTAGTTAATTTTGTTCATAATCGAAGTGATAGTGATACAAAGCTTAGAATTTGGGTTACCAAAAAATTGATTTAAAGCAGGAGCACATAAGCCGAAAATGAAATTTCAAAGTTTAACAATAACTTTAACAAAAAGACTAACAACTACATCCTGGATCCTTAAATCCAAAACGGCCGTAAAAGGCAAATGCAAACATCGTTATGCCTGAGGAGCCTCTAAAGCTTCACAGCTCGGATTTGAAGTGCGAACCAAACCTGGACAACCTTTACCCCGCTGGCAGTTGTCGAGCCATAGGATCAAAGAACTGGGACAGTATCTAATATAAATAAGGGAAAACCAGTGAAAACTACTATAACTGTTATAAAAGACAAGTTTGGTGACTTTGCCTGCTTTTTGCAGCTTTTTGGCTGAGTCTGATTTTGCAATTCGAACATTTTTAGTTAATGATCTGGCATCTACTTTGCGAGTTCACCTTTTTATAACACGATTTTTCAGAGGTTTTCTAGCAAATTTTCCTCAATTTTTCTCTCCCCCCCCCCCCGAGCAAAACATTCAATGGATTTAATTAAAAAAATAGTTTTCACTTTATTCATGACTTTCTTGGCTCATCAGACGACTGGCTTGATCCTGCAAAGGTCAACTAATCGGCTATCGATCAGCGCAAATGCAACCAACACAGTGACTGTCGTAAAAGACTGAGAAAATTATTTCAGGAAAATAAAATGCAATACTAACAAGGGAAGGAAGGTTGGTCGAAGTGGCCTTTTGAAATGAGGTGTATACTGCCTTGTAGAGTTTGGAACGCTGATTCCAAATCTACCTTTGCTATCTGCTGCTGGCTTCTGGGAGAGGAGTTATGAAGATTTTTGTGAGTAAAAATCTGAATGGAAAAATAGGGGTAAAATCAGTCTTAACCCTTTCCCAATATTCAAATGAGGCAGCAGCGAAATGGTATATTTGAATCAAGAATGTTTGTTGCACCGAGTGACACCCGACTACCAATTAAGCCCTATAAAAGATGTTACGACGATTTGAGCCTACTCTTGCATTCAGATTTTTACTCACAAAAACCTTCATTACTCCTCACCCAGAAGCCCGCAGCAGATAGCAAAAGTAGATTTGGAACCACCGTTCCAAGCTCTACAATGCAGTACATGTGCCATTTGAAAAGGCCACTTCGACCAACCTTCCTTTCCTTGTAAGTTTTTCGCGAAGCCATTCAGGAATTGGGCAAAAAGTATAATTTTCGCAAAAGAGGATTTCATGAAAAATTTGAAATCGAGTCGGAGCTCTTATAAAAGTTGATCATCAATTCCAATCTTCAAAAGAATGCTAGAACATAACATAAAACAAAACATAAGACAACTCCGGCTCTTGTTATTGTCTTGTGTTAGGTGTTTCCAACAGGGCTCGGCACGAGCTGGCACCAGGGAAATTTCAAAACGAAGTCCCGTTTGATATTGAAAATTTCGTACAAAGTCCCTTTTGACCTGTTTTGAAAACCCGTCATCATTTTTATATTATGTAAAAATTGTAGTAGTGTTTTCATGCATTTCTGATTTCATGAAAGAATTTTTCACAGCTTTCTGAGCTTTTTAAGTGGTCGAATCACATCTTGAGAAGCAGAAAAAGCCGATTTTTCGACGGCGGAGCGGACCGAGTGGTTTTCAAATTGCTATGAAACGCTGAAAAGAGAACATTATGAAACTGTTTCTTCTCCGTATGTAATCTTTTACAGTGTAGATATATTTTATGTAAAAAAGTATGAAAACTTATGTGAGCAAAGTGTCGGTGCCAGCTCAGCTGGCACCCAGCTGGCACGGTGCCAGCTAATTCAGAAAAAAATTCGGCACAGCTTTCATTCACATAAGTTTTCATAAATTTTTGGCCCGTAGTTCCGGTCCACCAACGCGCATGCACACAGCAAAATTGGTGTCATACTATTGCGTTTTGGCTGAAAACAACGCCTTTGTTTGTTGATGGACAGCTTGCCCAATGGCATGTCGGTGGCATGCCGACGGCATTTTTGCGGCAGTTCTCCGCCTCGGCCCCTGTAGAAACGGTATCCCCTTTGCTTTCCGCGCTAAAAACGATATCCAGCTTGACCCGGTGCCAGCTATGCTGAGCCCTGGTCTCCAACCTCGAATTTGAAATTTCCATCATTTTCACTATTATTCTCGTCATTGTTATGTTCGTCTGACCTATCATTTGCAGTGTGACTTGCTCATGACGCCAACTCGGCAAAATCTCGTTTTTCTTCAACTTAAAGGCACCGTCCACCCAGATTTTCGACTTCTAGGTTTTTGTCGTTTCAGGGACTTCTCATGTTCCTGATTTCGAATATGAAGTCAAGAATGCGCGCAAACCCCGATAGTTCCCGTTCCAGAGAACACGCAGGCCGGCTTTCCGTAACGATGATTGGATGGGTGCGCACAAATGGGCGGGCATGGATGGAGGAGGGCGGGCATGGATGAAGGAGGGCGGGCATGAATGGGGGTCCTCGTGCATCTTCGCTATTCCGGAATGATTTTCTAGCTTTCGAAGCGATATTTTGCGCCGCGACTTGGGCATTGGATTGATAGAAGACCCTATTATTATATGCTGCCAAAGGCTAAACACCCCCAATTTAGGGTGGACGGTGCCTTTATGAAAATCCGACGTGCAGTATGTGTTTGTGCAGAATCTTATAATGCTCCTGTGATTTTTATTGCAAATCTTCTTCTACTCAGACAATCGCTGGGGGCAGGCGGGCACCGAAAAAACTGATTGCTGATTTTTCGCACCCCGCTCGCGGATTTTTTGCAAAGCAATCAGGACTTTTCGGAAGACCGCTTGCTGAGTCAGCGGATTTTTGAGAGACCGCCTGGTGAATTTTTTTTCGCTCTTATCTTTTGCAGATATATTGCTGAATCTCTAAGGAATCGAAAACTCAGCAAGCGGTCTTCCGAAAAGTCCTGATTGCTTTGCAAAAAATCCGCGAGCGGGGTGCGAGAGATCAGCAATCTATTTTTCCGGTGCCCGCCTGCCCCCGGCGATTGTCTGAGTATTTCCCGCTGTTGCCAATTCTATCCCATTTCTGTCGAAAGCGTTTCTAAATTAACACGTTGACGACCGTATGCATCCGCGCGTATGCACGCCCTAACTCCCGTTTAGCATTTTCGTGCATCCGCGCATATGCACGCTAGTTTTTTAGGTTTAAACGAAAAGTTTTAAGGTAACTTCTATGCAGTAATACTACTGGTGGCCTGATAGTCTTACAGAACACAGGGCATCGCGGCAGCTGTTCAGAAGTTTGGGCCGCAAAATTGGGTAATCAGACGGTTTTTGATAAGGTAAACACATGCTAATTACGTTTTTCCGAGAAGGTTAAAACTTTGTAAAGCTGTTTTGAAAGCAAAAAAGGATGAATCAAGCAAAAAATGCCTGGTATTACAGGTTAGGTTTTTTTGAAAAGAAATTCCTCCAATATAGCGATTGCGCGGTTATTGCGAGGGAAAATCCACGCAAAAACCTTGATTTATGTAAGTTCTGGTAAGGCTCTATGATATACATGTATCTCTGAACAAAGTTCACATGTTTTATGAATAAGCGTCAAAAGGACTCCAACATAATGTTTTCGTGCATCCGCGCGTATGCACGGGCCAAATGCGCGAAGGACGTTAGTGGGAGTTTCGCCCAAAATGGCGCGGTCGTCAACGTGTTAATCACAACACTTCGAACAAGAAGTTTACCATCTGATCCTCCTTAACTTGGTCTTTCTGATGTTTACCATACGTTCATACAAATCAGTTTGTAAAACGCTTACAAACGCTAGAAAAGATCGAATTCTAGCTAACCTAATAGTTAAAACGTTTCCATAATTCTGTCGCGTATAGCAGCCACTAGTAGCTACCTATTCTTTACAGAAAAACTTTGATCTTGTTTCCTACATCACTCTGTCCACACAAATTGCTAATCGTATATATAAGTACGGCAAGCACTGATGAATGAGTTCAAGGAAAACTAAACGAAAATCAAAAGACGCTTTATTGAAGATAAACTTGAGGAGGCCAGACAAAATCACAAGAATTAAGCTCGCCTACATGTGTACAAAACAGAAAACAACTGGAGTTAGTAGAGATTTTACACTGTATTTTGAAGAATGAAAATTATCAACTTAAAGTTACACTTGAAATAATCAACCAATTGAATTGAAAGTGATTGATATGCACAAATTCCTGCACGTGAATTGTTTACCAGTTGTGGTGCTGTTTGGGATTGGCAACAATTCTTTGCTTTGAAAGATGGTCAGGTAGAATGTTAGTACAGATTTTATGGAGAAAGTTATCAGGTGTTACGTCAAAGGCTGAAAAGGCTGCATTTTAGGGTTACATTTGAAGCTGGCTCAGTTCGGACTATAAACGAATGCCGTAAGCGCTGTAAAAAAAATCACTCGTAGAAAACATTGAGCACTTGTATTTCGCCCGTCGAAAACGTCTGTGTACAAGCATCTGCCATGCGACGAGCGGACACCGGCGGCGTGCACCCTCCGGCGGCACCGCGTTCCCCATACGACTGCTGCATGTAGGTGGGTGGCGGCCCACGACCCCGCGTTGAAGCTCTATAAGGACTGCCCGGATTGAACGACATCGGCGGTGGTCGTGTAGGACTAGCGAGTAGCACCCAAAATGAGGGACTTTACTTCTTACAAAAAAGAAGCAAAAATGACACTTACTTCTATGCATTTATCCTCGAAAAGGCCACGTAGGTGAACTGGTATTAGATTAGAGAGCGTTTGGTGAAGTGCAGAAAGCAGACAGTGAGCTTCTTCAACAGAAGTGAGTAAAAGCTCATCGCTCATGGGACGTATGCCCCAGCTGAAATATTGTTGATTACACCTGACAAGCTCGTGAGCAATAAATAACGTTTGTCGCTTTGCAAATTCGTCATTCACTCATTCTTTGTACACCCGACATGCAAGTTGAGGTTATACTTTGATGAACATTCCCATTTTTCTACCTCATTTTCTAATCTACAAATCCAACATTTGAACCGTTGTAGCCCAGCTGATAAAGAAGTCAACAATTTGCAAATAAGACCGCTTACGGATCACTCGGCCAAAAGCCTGGATTTTTTCAATATTATACCGCTACCACAAAACTATGAGAGCATGTGGCTAGCTCTATATATGGTTAGAGATCTTACAAAGCTTTTTGAAATGGTATCTGGAAAATTAACATGCACTAACATCACGCTACGCAAAACGGCTGATGAAGCGGCAACTTTTCTCGAGCGCCAAGTGCGAAGGCAAAAATAAAGAATATTAAAACCATGTTATCGTCGACAATTCCAACAGCATTGAAAAATAGACCTACAGGGTGTTTTGACTACTAAATTCCTAATTTCTTGCAGTTTCGTTAGACCTATATAATTTTGTAGACAGACAATCGGGACCCTGTTAGGCTAAGGGCATACTCACGCGATTTCAGTCGCCACGCGATTTCAGTCGCCACGCGATCTGGCAATTTGCCAGATACCTTTACCTTCAAATTCAATAATGGCAGACCCCAAATGCACAACATATTTAGTTTTGGTAAGATGATAAAATGCCCTATATTTCGTATATTTAGAAACCCCTTATGATGAGTTATGCACAATTGGAGTATTGCCAAATCGCGGCGCGACTGAAATCGCGTGAGGTATGCCTTTAGCCTTAGGCGCAATTAGGTGAATGCTGGAGCACATCGCAGAGTTTCTGAATTGTTAGAGTGATAGAATTCACAAATCAGACAAGGATATCAACATACATGAGAATACTTTTAGTTGTTTCTTTGCACAAATTCTTACACTTCACTATTGATATAAAAATCCACGCGAAAACTTTAATCGTCCAGACACAACGACGTAACTTCTCAATCCGCTCAGTATTATTAGCAGCCCTTATAATACCCGGGACCATCGGCAAAAGTGTTGGAAGATGGTGGAAGATTAGCCCTCACGCCTATTATCTGAGCGCATTAAAAACCAAGCTGGCTAAATCACCATTTTCCAAAGCGAGCATGCCATCTTGATGATGTTTCTTTTACTAAACAAACTTACTTTGGACTCTGACTAAGTTTCCGAGGTGTAACGTCACTAAGCATTATCGACTGTGGGTAATAAACGCGCTGAAGATTGACGAACGAAATCGACCGCATATCATGAAGTGGCTTGCCGAATTTGTCGTGCTGCAGCACCGAATGTGCTACCTATAAAACACAGCCATCAAAATCAGATTCTGCTACACCACAAAAAAAAAACCTTCGTGATGTCTACTGTTAATAAGTACAGCAGTGCTTCTCCATAAGAAGCATAACAAAAAGGCGTGACAAACTCACCTGTGTATCGAAAACGTTAACCATATGTACAGCATATTTGTGAGCCAGCAGAGATCCAACACGTCGAGCGTCGTGAATCACCTAAACAAGTCAGAGTTATAAGGTATGTTATAAACTGTAAGGTGAGGCATGTTTGTGTGCGTCCTTCAAGCCTCTCCAAATATTCATTTTTTATGCATAGGGATGCCCCTATGAAGGAGAATCAAATAACATCAGAAAAAACAGTCAAACAACGAACGGAACAATTTAGAGCTTTGGGGGAACGGAACTTACATACACAGTAAGGTTGCCGCCGCCTAATTAGCAGAGTTCATGAGAGGTCATGAACTGGCAGCAACGCTAATTTGCACTCATTTTGCACAGAAGATGAGCTGATTCTGCTCAGGGAACTCCGTCATCATCCTGCAGCCTATGAAACCGTAATTTCTTTGAAATTTGAATTCAAAGTTCAATAGTGAAATCAGTCCGATTAGGGTAAAAACTTGTATTTAGGGGTATTTTATCACGCTAATTCCTAATATGTTTATCATTTTACTTAAAACCTAGGATTTTTTTCTTTTTTGAATCAAAACTTGTTTTCACAAATTTTTCACGAAGATTCTCAGAGCATGCCTGTGGCTGTTATTACCAATCCGAAAAAAGTTTGAAATTCAAAACAGAAAAATTTCGATGTTTCATGCACAACCATCAGCTTTTTTAAACAGCATGTCAAAAAACTTTGAATGTGAAATTTGCCAAATTTACGAAGATGAAAATAAATAAAATTTCCAAAGAAAAAATAGTCAATTTTAGCGTAACCATTAGCTTTTTAGGAAACAGCATGTCAGAAAACCCTTACAAAATTTTTGAAATTTTTATTTGTGAAAACAAGTTTTAATTCAAAAAAGAAAAAAAATCCTAGGTTTTAAGTAAAATGATTGACATATTAGGGATCAGCATGACAGAATACCCCCAAATACAAGTTTTTGCCCTAATTGGACTAATTTTACTACTGAACTTTGAATTCAAATTTCAAAGAGATTCCGGTTTCATAGGCTGCAGGATGATGACGGAGTTACCGTGAGCAATTTCAGCTCAACTTCGGCGCAAATTGAATGCGAATTAGCGTTGCTGCCAGTTCATGACCTCTCATGAACTCCGCTAATTAGGCGGCGGCAACCTTATTGTGTATGTAAGTTCCCTCAACCAAAAGCCTTAATACAATTTAAGACTCTCTCAAAAACTTTTGCAATATGTACATCAAAGCTACATAGAGCATTTCTAATTATAATTTATCGAAGTAATCCATCAACGGTGTATCAAAAGATGGCAGGGCGCGCGACGAGTTGGTTTGGAGCATTTTTGGAAACGAAGCCCCCATGACTTCGCGAAAATTTACGAAGTCCCTCTTGACGTAGAACTCAGTAGAACGCTTATTCAATCAAAATAACAATAAAAAGCAAAAAAAAACGCATTTTGTGGTACTTAATATAGCAAAAAAAGCAAAAAGAAAACATTTCGAGTTGATTCAAGGCTCTGTCATTGGGTGGGTACCGTTTTAGTGCTCAGAATGTCGAAAACCTCCTAAGCCAACCAAATCTGTGGCCTCAACATTTGGCGATGCAGTTTTCGCCACAGAGTTCAAAGGACACCGCATGTGATTGGAGCGCGATATCTATCAACGCGTAGAATTCTACTACTTTTGACTCAAAAAAAGGCGAGAGGCAACGATTTGATCCGCTCTCTTCACTACATGATAGATTTTTGACGGTTCTAATCGTCCAAGCCAAAAAGGGGCAAAATTTATGTAAACTCTCCGATATTTATGCTCTGAAGCAACCCAGTTGGTTTGGTGTTGCTCTAGAAACCAACAAATTCGGGAACCGGTATTAGGAGACATACGTTTTTGAAACTTTTTACATAACTTAGTTTGAAGTAATATTTACACACAAAGCCCAAATTCGGAGCCATCTGATTGTTTGTGGGCTGTAAACAAGCTATTTGTTTGTTTGAGTCTTGCGTTTGAAATTCGCGCGCTTGCCTCGTAAAGCCTGACATTTTCGTTGTTTTTTTATCTTGCTGCTTCCTCCAGGATTTTATAAAAACGATATCCCCGTTGCTTCTAACTTCAAAAACGAAGTCCAGTTTGACACCAGACCATCTGTGAGTGCCGGGCCGTGAGTGACGGTAACCCAGAATACATATTTTTGAATTCACAAAGCGATTTTCTGCAATCTCTTTGCATAGATCTCTTGGATGTTTCAAAATTGCGGAACCCCAACTCCGATTTCGGAAAAAAGAAGTGTGGCAACCAACTACAAGGCTAATTTTGGATCTTCGAAAATCCTTACAAATCGTTCTAACAATCACAACCACTTGCAAAATTTCACAACTCATATGTAAAACTTTCAAAAATTGCGCGACTCATTTTTGGAGGGGGATAGGGCTCGAACCGTTACTGGTAGCAACTTGTCCCCAATGCACCTCTAGTGGTGGAGTATCTGGTATCTGAGATTGATCAGCAAGTGCCTTTAAGTGTTCCTCACTTTTCTTACATTCTCTAGAAAAGTTCTCCAGCTTTCTTTACCCTCTTCAAAATCCTTTGTCGTCGTTTTTTAAGCCCTCCTGTCAAGATGTCTTTTCTTGAAAAAAAATTTGCACTACAAAATGCCTTTTATTGAAACGCGAAAATTCATAACACGATAGGCCCAACGTCAATTTTGCCAAAAAGCGCATGTTTTACTTCATCCATGAGCTTACGGGACGTTTCCTTTTCAAAATCAGCTGACAATAGTTACAAAAATCAAAACTGAGCCACTACTACCATGTTTACGACGCTATTGTCGCGAAAAACAAATAAGTTTCAAGGAGAATGCCTTTCGCATAAGTTGAAACCTCGGTACCTTTCCCATTTAATACATCGACTAATGTAATTTTGATTTTGTGTGTGTGGCAATTCAGGATTCTAAAATATTTATAACTATGAAAATATGGGGTCGGTCCAAAAGTTATGTCATTTTCCAGACCTTCCATAGATCGTTCAAGATAAATCTTACACAAATGTTCTACATAGTGTTCGACGCAGGCTCCCTCTTCAAAGCAGAAAGGTGGTTGTTCCAAGGTCACTAATTTGCTCGAATAACAGTTAGCTTCTCCAACTATGGGTTCTACCTACCTTGATCTCAACTATTTTTGAAATGTTCATTTCTACTTCTGGAGGAGTTCTCATAACCGTTGAACAGAGTGAACAAAGTGCAATACAACGAATTTTTTGGGATCTGTAGTTGCTAATTACAATACCGCTCATAATTCGTCAAAAAAGTCGCCGGACTGCGGCGCACTCCGCCACACTCCGCCGCACTCTGCCACACTCCGCCGCACTCTGCCACACTCCACCGCACTGTGGTGGAGTGTGGCGGAGAGCGCCGCAGTCCGGCGACTTTTTTGACGAATTATGAGCGGTATTGTAGTGAGAGATTTTTTCAAAAATCCCCATTTTGACGAAGTCAAACTACATAAACGCTTCAACCGCTAGTTTCTCTGAACTGAAACTTCGAAAAACACTTATGGTTTATCACTAATTTCACCAAGCAAGTGAGCGTTTACAGCTTCGAAATATCAGAATTCGCACTAGTACAACCTGAGGCGCTTTTACAACGAATGTTAATTTTTTAACCGAAGACATCACAAATAGGGAAAGAAAACAAATTTCAGAAAGGAGAAAGAGCTGCATCGAATGAGATTCCTAGTGGCGGGGCGTTTGATGCTCTATGAGGTTTGGCACTTGGCATGATTAAACAAAGAGTAGTGTTGATGATTTCTATATCATCAACTAATCAATCCATTTTTCCACATCGCCTATGGGATTCCCATAGGCTCAATTGTACGCCATTCATTCTTGAGTATCTAATCACTCAAGAACGATTGGCACCTGTGCACCAGGAGTGTGGCCGAACGGCGGCAACTCCTTTTAAGCCATGTACCCCTTCTACGTTGTACTTTGTACCCGGGCAAGCTCCGCCTCGTATCCGTGTATATAAGGAGCCCCCGACTGTATTATAGACTCTTCTCGAATAATCTACGCCCGTGCGAACAAACCTTATTCCACAACTCGTCTACCCCCTAATCACTTGGTACCCACCAAATTGGTGCATCGGCCAGTGATTTTCCTTGTATTTCCTCGGCGATTCCTTCTAAGGACCCAGGAAATCAAGGCCTAAGACCCGCGTGGCAGGCTCTATTGCCAACTATTTGACTCTCGTGATTGCTGGTTAATCCACTTTCGCGACCAAGAGTCTTACTAAGCTGTCAGGTCCTATCCACAGCTTAGTAGAGGTTTCTAGCTGACTGACTGGTTCATCCACAGTTAGCGACAGACTCCTCGCACTCTAGGCTACTAATTAGCCAATATTCGACTCTAGTAATTGCTGGTTCATCCACTTTTACTAATACGAGTCTTGCTAAGCTATCAGGTCCTATCCATAGCTTAGCAGAGGTTTTCTAACTAATTGACTGGTTCATCCACAGTTAGCAAAAGAACTCCTCGACTTTTTGGCTTCCATTAGCCAAAAAAGACTCTGTGATTGCTGGTCCATCCACTTTCACAACAAGAGTCATCTTGCGAAGCTATCAGGTCATACCTATAGCCTAGCAAAGAGGTTTTTCTAGCTGACTGACTGGTCCATCCACAGTTAGCGACAGAAATCCTCGAACTTTTTTGGCTTCCATTAGCCAAAAAGACTCTGTGATTGCTGGTTCATCCACTTTCACAAACGAGTTTCACCTTGCGAAGCTATCAGGTCACATCCATAGCTTAGCAAAGAGGTTTCTAGTTGACTGACTGGTCCATCCACAGTTAGCAACAGAAATCCTCGAACTTTTTTTTGGCTTCCATTAGCCAAAACACTCTGTGATTGTTGGTTCATCCACTTTCACAACGAGTTTCATCTTGCGAAGCTATCAGGTCACATCCATAGCTTAGCAAGGAGATTTTCTAGCTGACTGACTGGTCCATCCACAGTTAGCAAAGAAATCTCAACTTTCCAAGCTCATTCACGATTGGTTCACCGATCTTGAGCTTTGGATCGTTACATTCACGGGACAGGTTCCAACACCTTACCGTCCAGTACAGCGTACAAGCCAACCAGGCGCGCTTGCTGACAGCTAGTAGACGCTCGGCACCCACTTGCCAGCTCACTAGAAAGCTTCCTTGCAACCAGTAAGGACAGCGTCAAAAAAAATTCTAACAATTTTGGAAAACCAGCTATGGATGCCAAAAATGCATTACGCTGAACCTTGTTTACTCCATCCTGTCATTAAGGCTCTTTCAAGAAACTGAAGTGAAAGTTTTGAAAAACAGCTAAAATTGGTAAAAGCAGGAGTTGGAGATTTTATGGAGCAGTCGTCAAAAAACTTGGAATAGAAACTTTACAGCTAGAAAGAAGAAGAAATTCTGCATCGAACACTTTTTGAAGCGTTTGCCCATCTTTATTTTGAGATTCGAGGATAGGTCTGAAAAACGGCACGAACTATCGGACGGACCCAGATATTACCTACCATACTTTTGAAAACGCTGTCTGCATCTTTGTAATATTTTAGAAATTTTTTTTGAGAAAAAATTGATCATACCTTTGTGACCTTGTCGCTTTCCAATATATCCCTGAGACCACTTTCCATGATAATAACATCACTGGAGGCAAGGTCAAATACACCAATCTGGGATTGAGTAGCTACGACACCTTAACATTATTTAATTTAGCTTGCTATGGTAGGAAAAGCAATATTGGAAAAAAGGTGGATAATTTCAAAATACTAACACAAGGATAAGAAGAGTTCGCCATCGATACCCACAGTTACAGTTTTGAAATCTAAGCCAACCACTTTTTTCTCTTGGGTATTGATGTCTTGCCACAATCGCTCGACTAGTTCCTAAAGAATTTCGGTCGATATGGAATAAACAGCAGCCTCGGTGAAGATATTCAAACCTGTGCGGGTTTCAGAGCTTTCACAAAATGAATTCGCGCTAAAGCGTTTTGGTCCAATGGGAAAACGCTATTGTTATTGCTCTCCAAGTCGCCCTCGTCGGATCCATTCTCACTACCATCCTCAGATGGTCTGTTCTTCACCAGAGTCACCTAAACAAACTCTATTTCAGATAGTTAATTGAAATAAGATGAAATTGTACTACTACAGAGTATATCAGGCTGCTCAAAGTGCTGCATCCATATTTTCATGATTTTATAATTTTCTTGATCGCAGAATTGCTTAACTTAGATTACTGTGAAGAAATAACATAAACTACATGTTGTCATTTCGATACCAGAAGGTAGCGATAGAATGCGTCACCTAATTTGGTTCGATGACTACTTATTTTCAATAAGGAAGAAAACTGATCGTATCACAACGATTATCAACGATATTCAAGGCATTTTTTGCAGTTCGCGGCAAAACTAAATTTAAAATCAGATGCTTATTTCACCGAATCAAACCTCACTAGATGTTTAGTGATCCCGCTTTTAGGAGTTCTAGACAAGCATAAAATTTTCCCCTCAATATATCAGAATTCTAGCAAACGGGTTGCGATTGCGAGAATAAAATAAAAACAAGAACACTGAATCAAATTCTAACTGCGTAATCTTCTTTCTTTGGATCTCAATGCAAAATCAATTCAAAAGCGCCTTTTCTTTTAACACTTCGCTGGCTTACTTTTACCGCGTTTCAGATAGAAACATTCAAAGTCGTCAAAGACAAGGAAGAGAACCAGCAGTGAACTCACTTTGTTACTTCTAATAAAGAATAGTCCTCGGTTGAGTTTCAAAAATTGTAAAAGTTCTTTGGGATTAGTAGCGACGTCTTGTCTTATGGAATGTGAGAAACGTTGGCAGAAACGTTGATAAAACATATCCAGTGGTATTGGTTGGTCCTCATTCTGAAACAAGGAATTTTTGCCAAGTGATCTCGCAAAACTAGATTCGGATGAGGCAACTTAGTTAGACGAGGAAAAACAATACCTACCTGTTCCAAAACGCTTTTTAGATATTCGACGGCGGCCTGCTTAGCTTTCACTCCAGCAAGCGGTTTCCCTTCATCATCAAGTTCGATAGCATTATCATCTGGCTCTGGCATATTCTAAATCATATCCAATGAGAAAAAACCAGCAATTAACAATAAAATGATCAAACAACTACCGAAAAGATAAAGATACCAAACAACTGGTATATACAAACCTTCAAACGCACACGGTCCCCTTCGACAACGAAATATTCACTCTGTGACTGTAGAAATTCGCAGAACTCTTTGAGATGACGCCCAGACACAAGTCGAACCTCCGGTGCAGCTTGTGAGCGATGACCAAGTAGGGATTTTATCTAGATAGAATAATTAGATGGACCGAAGCTGGATAGGCTTCAGATAAAATTTTGGGCCCATTCAGGAGCTATATGCCATTGAATGCGCCTTTTTTCCTATCTTAAGAAACGTTTTTGCAAAAAAGTAATCCAGTTTTGCCTGTATAATATCCTTCTCTCATCCAATTTTCAACCTTCGTTTTTTGAATCTTCGCATAGGCAAAAGTGGTGAAAAGTATGGAAGGAAGAAGAGATCTTGGAGAAATTCTCCAGCAACTGTAAGTTGGTACAAAAATGATGTGTCCGTTTTGTAGAGTTGACTTTGACCAGCGATGACTTTGTCCAATCTTCATAACTTTGAGCATAGTAACTTGGCGCGCACCTGCGCATACTGCATCGCAAACGGGAAGAAAACCATACATCAAAGAAATTTTCTTTCAAACATCCTTTTTGAAAGTTTACAACTCTCTTCAAGTTTTGTTGGAATGGCTGCTAATCAGCTTGTTTTGTAGAGACAAATGCGCCTATAAGAAAGATATTAACTTAGGAGCTCTGCGCATAGAAAAGATGAAAAACCAAAATTGTTCGCTTTCTGAGCCTACTTGTGGTAGCCCTGTAAGTCCCAAGTACGAGAATTTGCGAATCTTAATGCAGTGTAAATAGCTAAATTCTTTTGAAAAAAGCATGAATAAGACGTCAAAATCTCATGCTTACAAAAATGAGCAAAGCTCTGGCGACTGCCTATTTAAGAAAATGACCCATAAAATGCCAGCAACGAGAATCAATTTTATGCGTCGATTTCCAGCCCAAATACTTTCGAAAATGCATAGCAAGCAATAGGTAAACAAAATCTATCCCATACAGTAGCTGTTTTTCAAAAGAAATGATTCATATGCGTTTGGAATGTGACCAAGAAAGTGAATACAATGTTTAATTTTGAGTGTGGGTGTGTTGAATACTGGTGAAAATACGACAGATGAGTATGGAGGCCTAATTGCACCATTTTGAAAAGTGCATGAAAGAAGCTTTCAAGTAATATGCAAACGTATCAAGAAAGAATATTAATAAGTTGTCCGGAAAAAGGCTCTAAAAAACGGACATTATTCTTGCACCATAATTGGCAAAAAATGGTGATACTCACACTCGTTTTGCAGAATGTACAGTCTGTGTCAACTGCGCCCCTTTTCCGTCGGCGCATCGCCACGCCTGAGCTTCGCGCCATGTTCGCGCCCGTACTGTGCGGGTATTCAAATTGGCCTTATCGATTAGAGATCCGCACTTAAGCCCGCGCATTACGAATCGTAGTTGCTACGCAAAAGAAAGTACATTATCGACACAGGCTGTAGCTAAAGAAAGTATTGAGCACGGCTTGACAATTTGAGAATAAGAAATCTAGCGAATAGAATAATATCAGGTTGTCCCATAAGTGCCGTCCGTTTTAACTTCCGATAGCAATAAGTCATAAATTTCTTGGTCCTAGACAGACTTTAAGGTACATTCGATAGAGCAAAGCAAGCTCTACAAGAAAAGTTTCTTTTCGCACCAGTTCAAATCTCGAGTTTGAAGCCAAAAACCAAAAAGCTTTAACCGCCCAAAAAACAAAGAAAAAATCGTAACTCCTTCGAAAAAATCCTAGAAAATTTCTAACTTGCTCACAGACACCCTATCCGCATCAGCCAATTATACATACAGTTTCTATATTTTTTCCTTGAATAGAAGTGGTGAAAACGAAAATTTTCATGTTCTTGCCAAAGTGATGCTGTGTTGTTCTCACTCTAGTAGTTGTATACTACAGACCAGTACAAGTACAGACATAAATTTTCAGCGCTTTATAAACTTTAGTTTTTGAGAAATAATCATTTTAATATGGGACACCCAACTGTGCGAAGCTAAATTCAGTGTTTCTCGAGAATTAAAGCCTGTAGAGCGCCAAAAATTTGTATCTGTACTTGTACTGTTCTGTAGCACACACATACCAACGTGGGGACAGCACAGCATCACTTTGGCAAAAACATGCCAATTTTCGTTTTCTGATTTCTATTCAAACAAAAAATACAGGAACAGTATATTTAAATGGCTGATATGGATAGCGTATTTTTGAGCAAGTCAGGAACTTCCCAGGATTTTTTTCAAGGAGTTAAGATTTTTTCTTTATTTTTCGGGCGGTTGGATCGTTTCGGTTATTGGCTTCAAACTCGAGATGGATTTGAACTGATGCGAATGTAAGAGACTCTTCTTGTAGAGCTTGCTTTGCTCCATTGAATGATACCTTAAAACCTGTCTAGAAGCAAGAAGTTCATGACTTATTGCGATCGAAAGTTAAAACGGATGGAACTTATGGGACAACCTGATATATTTGAAGATTTTGGATTTATCACTTTTCAAGTTCAACTAAATCAAATGAATTATGAAAAACTTCTGTGTTCAATCTATGACCAATATGTGACCCTAAATTCAAGTGCACTCATAAGACAGCTACCTAATATGACATGAACAGCAGATATTATATTTGTTCGATCTATCTATTATAGTAACCAATTAGTAACAAACTTTGAGTGAAATTCACCTGCAATTCCGGCCCGAATTTTGTAAGCTTCATGACAAAGAACTCCACAGCCTCTTTTTCATAATCGCGATTACGAGATGCGGATTGTAGAAGGGGATTGTTTTTGGCTGTTATATCACCGAATCCATTCAATATCACCTACAAACAGCAATTACTCAAAAAAATGATAAGGGAGAAATGCAGTACCTGATCTCCCTCAAGGGTGAAGAGGGATGGGTGCTGCTGAAGAAATTCGGTAAGCCCCTCCTGCGTGGTGCCAACGGCGTTTCGCATTTCTTCAGAAAATCTGCAACAAAGCGGCAAATTCTTGTACTTTTTACGATTATCTCTAGAAAGAAAAAGTACCCATTAAGTAGCCAAAACTACCTACCCGCGTGCACCAAACTGGCAGCTCAGGTCGTGTATAGTTCGCCGACCATTCTTTTGCATCAAATGATCCATAAAGAACAGCAACGCCATATTCTTTGCCTCCTCCATTTTGGCTTACCTTCAAAGAAAAGCACCTTATTTGTGAAGTACAAAATGGAAACGGAAACGAACAATTGTATGAGCAAGAGCTGCATAGAAGTCTCCAAACATGGCTGGAAAACCTAGGATGAGAACTTATGCGAGATATTGGTGCATGAATTGGATGATAATAATCTTCGGGTTCTGAAGGAAAAATTCATGTGAATTTGGGCTGTATCGCTGATAGGCTGACGTGAAGGAATGGTAAAAATCTCGATATATGATTTCTAGATCTTTCTTCGATAACACGGGAAAAACGAGAAAAAATGAAAAACTACCACAACCGCGAATAACCTGTGGCCAGTTGGCACGAAATTTATTAGCACTAAATGGAAGGCTGAGCCGGATTTTATGATATATGTTTCCCATGCTAACAACTGTTTATGAAGCTTGTTTTATGGCTGGAGCTTAATTCTAGAGATGTCTATTCAACATAAATACCATAGATGAAGAGAGCAGCAAAATTAAGAAACAAAAGCATTCGTTATTCCATCTATAGCTAAGACACAAAAAGGTTTGTTGCAGATTGTCCGTAGTTTAGAGCACATGGGGAAGTTTCTATGATAATTGTTGAATTAACAGAAATTTCTGGATGCGCTAGTTGCGAAAAGGATTCTGTGAACGCTACCCACACATCTTTTTAAAAATAGCAGAATTAAGATTACTTTGCACGGTATGAACCATACAGTTCAGCGCAACGCGCACTCACCAAAGTTGAGGGGTGGGAGGAATTGGGAGAGCGGAGGATTATCTTCTAATAACTCGTATAAACAGCACAAGTGCTAGCTATGCAGACTCACCATACCCCAAAACATAATACGCAACTCTCAGAAAAGAATGACTTGACTGTAATCATGATTGCGGCCAATATGAAAGATTGAAAATAATTACAGGGCTTGGATTCTATTAGGCTGATGCATAAGGTATAAAAAATTTCTGAAAATCCGTATCCACTGAAACCCAACAAAATCGCTTGCTTTGAAACATAATAGAGCAAGAAATTGCTGCGCTTTCTAGAAATGCTTGAACAAAAAGTCTTTGATTGCATACTGCAAGATGTAACTTTATTAGAAGCCTCAAAAGGTTGTTTTTGAATTTCAGTCAATGAAACCGTTAAAACGCCTAAAAATGAATTTGAATTCCAAGTTCGTGTAATTTGCTCTTTGAAAATTACGTGCTGATCGGATATTGGAGTTCTTGTATTCCACTTTAAATGTCCTAGAGTACATGAAATCCTGAAACTGTGTACTAAGATACAGCATTCACCGCATGTCATGGCTTATTTTAAGGATTTGTACATAATAAACTGTGCCAGAAAGAGAAAAAATGGGATTCACAATAGCACCTGTACTACTTTTATCATGTATACATGGCGAAGATTCAAGCTGCAGAACAAATTACCCAAAATACGATTTTTCTTTGTAGAGTTGTAAAAAAGCTGAAACTTGCGCTAGAAACCGGGTTGATATTATGTTTTAGGGATTGCTTTTCTACCTGAGCAAAGAAAGAAGCAAATACTTCCTTTTACCCGTGGGTTTTGTTATTTTATTTGTTTGTTGTTTTTAAGAAGAATTTTTGTAATTGTGGTATATTTTTCAAGACTGTCGAAAATTGCTTTGGTTAAGAGATATTTGGTGTTGTTAAGGTCCATGATATTGATTTAATTATATTTATACATTTTTGAACTACTCAAACTAATTTTCCAAAAATTTTCTAGGGCAGAATTTTATATGATTAAAAATATTGCTTGGAGGGGTGTATTTCTTGTTTTCTATGAAAAAGTATGATTTTTAAGAAAAAAGCCAAAAAAAAATCTGTCATTTTGTACCGCTTGCTCAAAATCATAACTTTTGATAGAAATTCTTGATCAAAACGAGCTTTGCTGAGTAGACGAGGTAAATGAAATTTTTGATACCAATTTCTCCGACTTTTGGGAGAAGTCTTCGATTTTTAACGAGTCTACATAGAAAGATTGAAAATTGAGCATTTCTTCTACAGCTTATATCTCTGCGTACGCCTGATAGAAGCTTATTAAAGTGTTATTGTAGACCGTATGATTTCTCCGTTTAAAACAACTGACTACACGCAAACTTTCGCAAAGATAAATAGTTATGAATTCTTGAAATTGTTGCAAACGAACTTCCGAAACGACCTATTACTAGGGTTGGCAAGAGAGCCTTTCACGTAGTAGCAAATGCTGAGAGAGAATAGAATCAAACTTCTACTGACAAAAAACTACAGGCCAGATTTGCGAGATGTACCTGGAACGTTTGCTCACACTGGGATACCATAAAAAGGTTCAATTACCCTAATTTCACGCGTATAAGGTGCGGGGGATTTTTTTCCAAAATTGACCAGCCCAGACATGCAAAGGACTTTACAACCAAAGGACCCTATAACGTGCTGTATATTGCTTGAGAGAATCGTGCGATGCAAGGATTTCTTTCCTGAATACAGTGAAGCGGCTGAGCGGCTCGCTTGAAAATTCGAAAAAGTGCGCCTTATACGCGTGAAATTAGGGTACATACAAAAAAGATTATCAAGAAGGTACCAAGGCAAACAAGGCAATGCCTGGTCATCGAGATGCCAAAGAACTTCAGTGGAAACTACTTCAAAAAAGTCAGGAAAATACAGCAAGTCTTGGGAAGTGATCATTTTACTTTGTGACCAATAACATCACTATAAACTAAAAAAATTCTGGAGCTGTATTATTTTCAGAGCTCTAACGGCACATGATCTTGCTCAAGAGTGCACCTAAAGACACCTAAAGACTATACGACGCAGTTTAGCAAATGGCTGAGAGGTCTGCAGTAGCAGCTTAGCGCCACACGGTTCCCTGGGAGACCGATCGAAAGTGCGTTCAGCCGCGCTGCATATGACAGCATTAAAAATGCCATTTGAGCTGTGAGTCGAGGTCCTTGAAAAAACTTCGGTTAGCTGAGGAATTCTGGAGAGCAAACAAACAAGTGCAGAAAGTGAGAAGAAAAACCTCAGCACCGCATTACGATAAGCAAAGGCCGCTTCGACCCTCGATACTATCAACTGGAACAGCATGACATCAATGCAACTCGGGAACATCAAGCCAGATTGAACTTTCTCAGCTCGAATTCTTCTTTGCCTAACAACGAGTAACAAGAAATTAATGCATTAGATAGACAGAGACTTGGTTGAAGACGCTAAATCAGATAGAAGAAGTGCCACATTTCACGACTGTCTTCCTTCCTTGAACTGAGACCTGATAGCACGAGAGACAGATGTCCTCAAGAACTAAAGTTTGAGACTGCAGTTGATTCATCGTTATGCCACTGAAGTTACTGAGAGGATCCATACACATTTGCTGAAGACGCTTGAAATGTCCTCTGGCCTTGCCTATGATATCAGAACCTACTAAGATGGAACGAAAATTCTGCTATTCAAATTATGGATTCCTACTGCGAAAATGCAAAAAGATCTGCGATTTGAGGACGTGATTTTTGAAGCAGCTTTTCGTTGGCTAGCTTGAAAAAAGGTCCCAAGCATGACAACTTCAACATTCGTAAATTTGAGTTCAGTCTCATAATGTACTCGAGTGCCGCTAGCTAGATTGAAAAAATTTGCAAATTTCTTAGCAGTCCACACATAACCGTGCCAGGATTCAATCTCAAACGAAAATGCAAAAACAAAAAATTTGGAGAAACAAATTCATAAGTACAAACAACCTTTACTCTGCATTTTATTTTAAAAAGTATAGTCAAGACGAGATAGTTTAGTAAGCCTAACTAAATGCAAAATTTTTCTGGGTGAACTTGATTTCGAAGAAAAATGCATTAAACAGGTCATATTTTTGCATAATTGAGTTTTTCATGGAAATTTTAAGCATTTTCGACATGCCACAAGTCAGTATTGACTAATGCAATGTGGAAAAAATTTATCTTACAATTCTTGTGGCCAAAGAGCGATACTCTAAGTATTCCTGAAACCAAACACAAAATCGCAACATTTGGAGGATCATATTGAAATCTTAGTTCTAGGCTAATCAATGAAAATTTGCACTCAAACCACTGTTGTGAAGCGCTCAAATTTTTTTTTATTACGGAATCCAACTCATAACTTGGGTTTTGATTACAGAAGGAGATTGGTGATTACGCAAGAAGCTCGTCCCAACCAAATCTTCTCTAAGCTGCTAAGGGGCAAAAAAATTAGAACATTCACTTTCAGGCGGATATAATGGAAACAGGGACTAAGAAACGTTACACACCCTCTATCGACGGCACTATTGTTGACTATCCGAGTATTGAGTTACAACCGGTGTGCATAGCATCTGCCTAAGCAACCTTCTCCCAAAATATTTCAATCGATAATACCAAGCACTCTGTAGCGTCGTCAACTTCACACCTTCAAATTCATAATTTTGAAGTCACTAAAAATAAGTTAGCAAGGATGGTCTGAACGGCGAAAAAAAGGAAAATGCATTATTTTGGCGATTTTGAAATTTGAAAAATATTGGAAAAAGATTCCTCGTGTGAGGCATGAGTGTTGCTTTGTTAAATGTGGAGATTTGCTGACATCAAGATTTCTGCTCAATCCGAAGACGAGCAGCCAGTACCCCTTATGACCTTTACCGAAAACTACAATACTGCGTTAAAACAAGGGTGCGCTACGCGTTACCGCTCAACAGACGATCCGAAAAAAAAAACTTCGGAATTCACACTAGGAAAGGTACCACTTTATTTGGAAAGATAAGGGTTTGTCCTACCCACTAGCTTACCGCTAAACTCGTTTCACTTCGCTTTGCTGAATTTTTTCGATGTCGCCTAATTTGCTCAAAGAAGCTCGACTGATTGTTATTTTCACCTGACAAGGGAAGGACCCTCGTCGATGTGGGGTTACCACACGTGATGCATATCATTGTGCTGGTCTTGGCGCACTAGTACCAAATCCGTGTTCCTTAGCTGCTCAGTAATCTTCTGGAAAGTTACGAGTAGTGGTTTCACC